AACTTCCAATCTAGATCAAAATGTCAGTAGAATGTAGGGAGAATTAAGATGGTTGAATATTTGACTTATAGATTATTTTGTATACTTCATTTATTATTAATCTATACTTTTTAAATTAAAATGTCTCTTTTTCTTATAAAGACCAGAATTGCTAATGTAGCATTTATTTTTCTTTGTAACAAGAAGACTAAGATTTGAAATATGATTTTATGTCTTTAAGTTTTTACACATTAATATTTTCCTGAATTAAGAAGGTTAGTCAACATTTGCTGTGTACCAAGTGTTCTGCTAGGTAGGCCCTGAAAATCTTGAACAAGGTCAGGTGTGAACATGACAGCCTGGCAGGAGAGCAGTAGAGAAGATATGTTAAAAGCTAAACTGGATAGTATGGAGCAGTCTGCCACTTATTCACTGATTTTTGTATTAGTTAGGAAATGAGTTTATATATATAAAATAGCAAGATACACACACTTAAATGCCTTTAGTAGAGTTAATATATAATAGAGTTAATATCTATTGCAGCCCAGGAGAAGAATGAGTTCTGTCACAAAGTGTTAGGACCATAAAAGATGAGCAAATTAGGGCTGGGGATGTGGCTCAAGCGGTAGCACGCTTGCCTGGCATGCATGCGGCCCGGGTTCAATCCTCAGCACCACATACAAACAAAGATGTTGTGTCTGCTGAAAACTAAAAAATAAATATTAAAATTCTCTCTCTCTCTCTCTCTCTCTCTCTCTCTCTCTCTCTCTCTCTCTCTCTTTTAAAAAGATGACCACATTAGAGAAGAGAGGCAGTCCCAGCAGAAGAAAAATATACATCTAAGACAAATAGGTGTTGTGATTCATGAACAATAAATAGTATGATGAGATAGAATTCTGCCTATGTGGCTGGCAACATAGTGCAGATAAAATTTAGAAAGATAAAGTTGTGGCTAGATCAGCCATGCCATTTATGACATATTAAGGAGTTTTACATTTTAGTATATGCCTGGAAAATTGGTGAGGAAATCCTTTAAAGGGAAATAACGTTAGGTTTTTATTTCATATCAGTATGATGTCACTCTAAAGTAGCTTTGTCTAATGAAAATATAGTGCAAATTAAAAGATATAAGCCATGTAGTAATTTTAAGTATTAACCACACTAAAAAAGTTTAAAAAGAGGTGAAATTAATTTTGATATATTTTGCTTAATCCAATATACCATGTTATTAATAAGTAATCAGTATAAAAATTGTTTTATTTTACATTTTTCATACTAAATCTTCAAAATTTGGTGTGTATTTTATACTTAGAGCACATTGTAATTTATACAGCTACATTTAAAATATTCAGCAGCCACAAGTAGCTGGTAGCTTCTATACTGCACATTGCAGTTTTATAGCCCACACTTTAAAAGATGAGTGGTGATTGGAATAAAATTATCAATGAGAGGAAGAGTCTCTTGGATTAGTCCCAGAGAAAAATGTTGAGGGCTTGAACAAAAATAGTCACATATGTGATGTAGAAAATGGCTTTTTAAAAATGGTTATGTAATCTTATACAATGTTTGTTTTGTTTTTTAACTTAGCATTAAGTTTCTACAACTCATCTATATTGATGTGGGTAGCTGTAGATCATATTGTTTGTGCTACGTAACTTCCCACTGTAAGAATATAGCATTGGTTGCTGGGGATGCAGCTCAATAGTAGAGTGCTTCCCTATCATGATCAAGGCCCTGGGTTCTATCTGAGCAACACACACACACACACACTCTCTCTCACACGTGCAAGTACACATTCATACACACACACACACACAAAGACTATACTACTGTATTTTATCAATTTCTTATTGCTTTATCCCTCCTCCTTTTTTTTAGAGAGAGAGAGAATTTTTTAATGTTTATTTTTTAGTTTTTCGGTGGACACAACATCTTTATTTTTTTCATGTGGTGCTGAGGATCGAACCCAGCGCCCCACGCATGCCAGGCGAGTGCTCTACCACTTGAGCCACATCCCCAGCCCCGCTCCTCTTTTTTTGATAGTAAAACAATGTTACCGTGAATATTCATATATGTGTCTGTTAGTACACATGAGCAAGGGTTTCCCTTAGATCAATAAACTAGTAGATTCTTTGTGACGTGACATTTATTACAAATATTTTCATCTAATTTATAATTTGCTTTGCATTCAAAAGCTGACTTTTAGTTCCAAATTCTTTTTCATAATCGTAGTTAAGAATCTTTTATTACTAGTACGTTTCCTTTTTTTAAAAATCTTGAATTCTTCCCTTCTCTATGGAACAGATTTTCATTTCTAAGGACTTATTTTACATTTAAGTCTGCAATTTATTCGGACAATTTATTGAACAGTCTTTGCTTACATTAGTCATCTATTAATGCATAAGAAATTGACCCAGCTTAGCAGCTAAAGATAAGACACTTATTATCTGACAATTTCTCTGGGGCAATAATCTGGGAGGAATAAAGCCTTGTGGTTTGGTCCAGGGTTTCCGTTGAGGTTGCAGCCATCTTGAGGCTTTCAGCTCGCTCACATGACTGTTAGCAGGTCTCAGAAATTCCACTTCCAAGCTAAATCTTGGCAGTGATTGCTAGTAGTCCTTGGTTCCATGCCACATGAGTCTCTTGAAAAGTTGTCTGAATATCCTCCCAACATGGCAGTTGGTTTCTTCCAGATAATGAGAACAGTTCAAGAGAGTGAAAAGGGAAGGTAGTTACTAATATTAATATTAGTAACCTAATATTAAAAGATAACCCTTTTGTTACACCATATTCTATTGTAAAGTAAGTCACTATGTCCAGTCCATATTTAAGAGGAATTTAAGCTCACCTCTTAATGGGAGTTGTATCAGAGCTTGTGAACACATCTTTAAAACCTGCACCCTCCTTTCTTCAGTGATTCAATACTAACTGTTAGATATAATTTTTCTATATGTACTAGTTTATTTTTGGCCTCTATTTTGTCACACTGGTTCATTTTGTTTACCTCACTTATTTTTTCTAAGCCTAAATGTGAGTTTGTACCAAGACTCATTTTCTAGCCTTGTTCTTTCACTCTGTATATTCACTCATATTTATTCTAAGAGAATATCCATTCTTTAATCATTACCTGTGAACACTTAACAGAAGACTCCAAACTGTGTTAGACATTACTTCAGACTCTTAATGTTTGTAACCAAATTCTCTTTCACATATCTCTTCTTCATGGGGGAAAAAAATCCCTCAGTAATTAAGATACTGATTATGACCTACAAGATTTAAGACCCTAATTAATTCATGGGAGGCTTAATATCAAGTATGGTAGTTTTCTCTTACTATAACAAAATACCTGAGACAATCAACTTAAAAGAGGAAACGCATATTTTAGTTAACAGTTTCAGAGGTTTCAGTTTATGGTTGGTCGATGCAGTTGCTTTTGGGGCCTATGGTAAGGCAGCATGTCATGGTGGGTGGCAAGTGGAAGAGTACAGCTGCTCACCTCATGACAGCTGGGGCTAGGGGGTCCCAGCATCTCCTTCAAGGGCATGCCCCCAGTGATCTAACTTCCTTTCATTAGACCCTCCCTCTTAAAGGATCAACCACTTCCCAGTAGCACCACAGGACTGGTAACCAAGACTGTTACCATTCTGGAGAATGCTTATCCAAACTATAGCATCAAACATTTAGCAGCGTAAACTCAATATCATATCCATATTGAATTTAATCTATCACTTGGTGGATGTGTATGTGATCTCCAACAAAGTCCCTGCCCTCTTCAAGTTTCAATTTTAGGCAAAGACATTAATAATAAGTATGGAGGAGAAATATAGCAGCATACATACAGAGAATAGGTAGTGTGGGCTGGAGGGGGGGGGAACTGTTATTTATTATAAGTGTGGTAAGGGAAAGCCTTCTCTGATAAAATCATATTGGGATAGGGAACAGTGTATGTGAGGAAGTAACCATGTATTCTAGGCAGAGAGAATAAAGGAGAAGTGTTAGGAATAGCCAAGGAGACCATTTTGTGTAGAAAGATCACATTAAGGAAAAAATAGCAACATGAGGTTAGAAATATTATTACATAAGGAAAGAAAGGATCTCACAGAACTTTATATGAACTTTGGTTTTTATTCAGAGAGCTCAAAAACCTTTGAGGGGTTTTGAGCAAAAGAGAAAGGTTTTTACCTTATATTTTTAAAAGATCACCTGTTGTGTTGATAGTAGACTGAAGTGGAGGCAAAGACAGAAACAGCAGGATCATAGAGGCTGATAGCCAAAATCCAGGCAAAATATGATGGTGATGTAAGTATCAGGACATAGTGGTAAAAAGTCAGATTTGGAATATATTTTGAAAATAGAGCCATAAGTATCTGCTAAAGGATTGAGTTCTCAGTCACTAAACCATATCTGGAGTTGTTTGTTTTGTTTTGAATAAAATTTAGAAGACAAACAGAAGAAGAATTAATTTTTCTCAAATGCTATCTATAGCAGGAAAAAAAAGACCAACAGCAACAAAGTATCTTAAATGTTGATAGGGAATCAAACTATAATTCCTTCATACAGTGGAAGATACAGACATTAAAATATTCAGGATATTTAATAATAAGAGGAAAATGTTTATGATATATAAAGTTTACTTAAACAATGCACATATATTATCTCCATCTTTTTAAATACATAGAATAAGATCTAAAAAAGGTTATGAATCAGAATTTTAATAGTGGTTACTTCTCAGCACTGCAGAAAAGATTCATAGTAATATTTAGTATTTACATTGAAGTATGGGCAAATGATATGGGTTGGCATATTAATTTCTCTATTATACTCAAGAAAATAAAATCATTTGTTAAAACTTGCAAATAAAAGTTTAAATGTTTTTCATTAACTACATTTCATTTATGATTAGTAACTTTTAGAAAGTTAATGAGCCCGTTTTTGACAATCAATATACTTACTATTTTAATGACCCTTGTTTTGGGTACAGTAATGCTTCTCCTCTTCTTTTTTGGTCTCACTTTATGTAGATTGCTTCCATCTTTGCCTTTGCCACCTGTGGAGGTTTTAAGGGCAAAACAGAAATTCTAGTGAATTGTCCTCCTTTAAAAGTTATTGAAAATCATACTGTTGAAGCTACTTTCGGTTATCCATTCAGGTGAGTTTTGTCTTTTTATTATGACTTAACGACTTTTTTTTTTTACTTTATTATTGAATCAAGATTAACAACAACTTATTGATGGGGGGTAGGAAATTTTAGATTGAATGCTCATTTGTGATTATTGTTGCTTACATTTGATGCAGAGCCCAATACCTGTCTGCAAACTTTTCTTAGACTATGATGAAATAAATATAGAAAATGAGACTAAGCATTTAGAACCTTTTATGGCAACTTGACATTATTTATTCTGTCATCTTTTAGTGGGTTGGAAATTAAAAATGCTCTGTCTCCTTAGTGTAAAGCCCTTTACACAGAGAGCAAAGCATGATTTATGAAAATAGATTTCTCATGTTTTTGCAATTACTGTTCTTCAGTTTTAAGTCATGTATTTATATAAAATGAAGAATCTCTCTGTGTCCCTAGCATAATACCATACCTTTTTACTCTTGAATGAAAATGAACATTTAGTTTGTGAAATCTTTTTTGTGACTTCAGTGTTCATTGAAAACTTCGTTAAATTTTTCAGTGTTTAAGCCAGGGTGTGAATCTTTTTCCACTTATCTAACATTACTTACTTGACCAAGACTCAATTTTATTTTATTTGTTTAATAAGTGGAAACATTATCTTTTAAGGATATTTTGTTGATAAAACAAAATCTTGTATTAAGGATATGTTAGATACCAAATGCTTACTAATCATCAAAGCCATTTTATCTCTTTTCCCTGTTGTACAGTTTCTGTACAAGGAACTTAGTAGCATTTATAATCATAAGTGTTTTTGCAGTTTATCAATGGGATAATTAATGGCAATGTGAATTTCAGTAAACAGCTATTAATCCAGTGAATTATTAAGTGAATCATTATCATAATTGGCCATCCTAAAACTAGTGACATGGACTCTGCCTCTTAGAATACAGTCTGTTTCAAATTGTAAAATATTTGGTATAATCCTTCCTACTCTGCTAATTTTTTATTTCAGGAAGATAATATCTAGGTATGAAAATGTTTAATTCAGTCTGTATTAAATCATGTTAGTTATCAGATATAATTTATATAAATGTATTATGAAAATTTTAGTTTAATTAAATATTTGAATTTTCCTCCCCCCACCCCCCATAAAGGAAACGTTTTTAATATATTTGGGGAGGATTTTTTGAAATGCCATTTCAGTATTCTGTCTTAAGTATTTCTGTGTCTTTAGAAGAATCCAGTAATTCTTATATTTATTTGAACCTTTTTTAAATAGGTTGAATCAAGCATCATTTCGTTCACATCCTGTTGTAAATGTGTGCAATGGAAATTGGTCAAGTCATTTCCTCATAGGAGATTACTCCTCTTCTGCACAATTCTATGTTACATTTGCAGTCTTTGTATTCTTGTACTGCATTGCTGCCCTTCTGCTTTATGTTGGTTACACAAATCTATACCGGGATAGTCGTAAACTTCCCATGATTGTAAGTAGTCGCTTTATTTTTTTAATATGAAAATGGTTATATTTGAAGTTATATATAAGAGGTTTTTTTGGGGGGAGGGGTCTGGAAATTAAAATTTTGACAAAACTCAGCTCAACATTAATGAACCAAAATAGGTGAATGTTTGAGGCAAGGTTGAGCTTTCTTTTGTTATTAAAATTAACCCAATTCTGTTAGCTTGTTCATACTCCAAGGAAAGTTTATTTTTAGCCTTATTTTTAAAATGGAAAAACTCAAATTTAAGTAGTAAGGCTTGTTAAATTGCTAAGGGCAAAAAAAGGGCAGTAATTAATACCTTTGATTTGAAGAATTGCAGGTTACATCATTAGTACAGTGTTAATACTTCTTACCTTTTCTTTCTTTCCTCAAAGACCCCCCTCTAATTGCCTATATGAGAGATCAGCAGATTAAAACCCAGGTCATATCAGGCTCACTGTTTTTTTAAACAAAATGTTTTTGGAATATGACTACACCTAATCCTTTACACATCATCTATGCTACTTTCATGCTAATCTCCTTAATTTAAAGTCTCACATCATTTTTTATGTTCAGCATTAGTGGAATTTGTTTCAAATCTTTGAGATGCTAACAGAAGATTTGGATTTAAAGTTCTGATACCTTTCTTGGCTTCAGAGTTTACTGGGCTAGAAATAAAATAACTCTGAGATTTAGAGAATAAACTCTACTCTGAATTATTATTGGCAAATTCAGACATAAACCATGTTTTTTGCATTGGACCTCTACTATAAAAGAATAACTTCAAAGTAAATATTAGTGCTATTGACTTGAAGGGAAAAGAGGTGTTGTGTGATCTAGTCATTTGTATCTATGAGAAAACACTGATGAATTATTTGTGAACTTACCTTAAAGGGAAGATTAAACACAAAGGAACTTTTAAATAAGTTTTATTTATGTATTTACTTTTAATTTTTGCTGCCTGGATCATAAGAATGCAAATGGTAAGTAAGGAATAAAATAGTCTTTCATCATACAGATTTATTCTGTCTCAGATATCTGAAAACACATAAGAAAACCAGGTGTCTTCATAAAATAGTTCTTTGTTAAGTACCTTTCAAAAAAGATGAACTTGAGTCAACTATTTTCATTTCCAATGCTTAGTTAACAAAAGTTACATATTAGGAATCTGTAGCTTCTGTAGACTTTTCAAGCTTTGTTTTTAAAAAAGGGAGTAGGATGATCATATAGATAATTACACTTTGTCAGTTTTTTATAATTAGAAGTTATTTCTTGCCTTGTCATTATCCAAAATTTTTACTGAATCTAGCCAATGGCCTCTTTCTTACATTTTATATTTAATAAACTTTAAATATACTATGCTTCTTAAGGCAACATTCCTATTTTGTAAATAGATTTTCTGTCTAATAAAACTGTAAAATGGATGTAGTTGCATCATTCAGGAAGTCAAAAGTAATTTTCTACCTTAGAATGAATAATTTAGTGGTCATATAAAGAAATGCTCCAGAATTGGTTCCATAATGTTTTTTTGTTATTGTTGTGACATACAACGTTCTGGTCTGTTTCTAAATTAAAATTTGAATTCTTTTAATTTAAAAGGTTTTTTTGGAGGTACCCACATTTTTAAATGTAGCAAAATATGACATTGATTTTCAGGTACTGTTTGTTACAAGGGCAAGCTTTTTTAGCAGTGTCTTTAATTCTGTGTACTCCTAGAAGTATTTCAATTGTGAAATTTTAAATCGACTCTTAGTTCTCTTTTTAGGCACTGTGTGTGTGTGTGTGTGTGTGTTAAGTAGCAGGTGTTTAAGGGTTCCAGGCAGTATAGACAATCCAGAATACCAGAAAATGAAACTAAACAAAAATAGGGTATCTCGAATTTAAAAAATCTGTTACAAATCATATCCTAATTGATTAGTAGGAACAGAGTGGGCTCAGGCAGCTGTGATTGTACATTGCAGAATTCCAGGTAGCACTGTTACTTAGATTGCTGGTTCACTTAGATTGCTGTGTGACCAGAGTTCTGAGTAAGACAAATAGAATCTGCAGGGGTGAGAATAAACCTCTACTTTCCTTCATCCTGTTTACTTTGCATCGTTTTCAGAAAAGTTACAGCTTTTAATACAAAAGGATGTGGTGCCTTAAAACAGCAGCAAAGTAGATTTAAAGAGAGCATTAACCATACACCTAGTAGAACTGTAGTAGTGTTAAGAAAAATAATTAAATTGCAATTTGTTGAATAAACTTCAATTTGAAAAGCAAAATAAAGAGCATAAGCAGGAAAAAAAAGGCGTAATCTTAGTTAAGAATTTAGGAAGAGGAAAATTCCTGAAAATTAGGGGCATTTGACATATATTGGTCAAAACTATGAACTTAACCTAGAGAGAACTTGTTTGACATGTAAAATCAGTTCTCTAAAAAGAAATTTTTATGTTTAGTAAATACTTAGAAAATATCTATAGCAGATTTATGGCAAAGTACAGGGGTCAAAAGGGGAGTGAGTGTTCCCACAGTATAGAGAATGTCAGCTAAAACATTTTTGTACATTTCTCTTTGGTCTACTTTCTTCTTTTAAAAGAACCAAAGCTGTAGAGAGCTCAAATGCAAAATGGAAATAACCATGTTTTTGCAGTTAGTCAGTTTTTATCCTCTAATCACAAGGTATTTATTCAGTGCTGTCTGGATCATGTGTGCAAGCTATATGACCTAGCTTCTATATCTCGTAAGAGATTACTGATATTTATCCTAAATAAATGACTCAAAGGAAGCTGGTAAAATAATTAACATCTAATCTAGTTTATTAAAAAAAATACTGATGATAAGCCTTAAAACTGATTTCTGAACTTAGAGAGATTTTTGGTGCTGTTATATAAGCTCATAGTTTTGAGTGTATCTATATGCTTAGGGTAGCATCAAATCTATACATTTTGTATTATTTCCACTTGGGTCATTAATTTTCAGGACAGCCAAACAATGTAGTACTTATGGTTTATGTTATACAAATCCATACTTAAAATGATATTTAGATTCTTGTAACGAGTACAACTGGACAAAATTTTAGTTTCTCAGCAGAGATTTTTTTTAAAATTTTTTTATTAGTTGCTCAAAACATTACAATGATCTTGACATATCATACATTTGATTCAAATGGGGTACATAATCTTATTTTTCCACATGTACAGATTGCAGGATCACATTGGTTATACAGCCACGTTTATACATAGGGCCATACTAGTGTCTATTATATTCTGCTACCCTTCCTATCCCCACCTCCCCTCCCCTCCCCTCCCCTCCCCTCTTTCTACCCAATCTACTGTGACATGTTTCTCTCTCTCTCTTTTTTCTTCCCCTTCACACCATCTTATATGTAATTTTATATAACAATGAGGGTCTCCTACCATCTTCCGTGCAATTCCCCTTCTCTCTCCCATTCCCACGCACCTCTTGTCCCTATTTAATGGTAATCTTCTTCTCATGCTCTTCCTCCCTGCTCTGTTTTGAGTCGCTCAGCAGAGATTTGATTGGTGTGGAGAATAATTTTTTCCCTTTCTTTATCTTGTTAGTTCAGTTAAAAGCTATCCAAAATATTAAAACCCTCAATTATATTCTTAGAAATGTAATAAATAGCAAAGGATTCAGTAGAAAATTATTAGTAATAAATATAATATAAGCATTTTTTAAATTCATGACTACAAATTCATCATGACTGTGAATTTTGAAAGACCTTGTTTTATTATTTTTACCATTCCAGTATCCATTTCATGGAGAATTAGATTTAGCCAGGGGTAGAACTGATATAAAAAAGCAGGATAAGAATAAGGGAGTTGAATGTATTAAAGAGATTATAACAACCTTAGAATATAAATTATTAAGGAAAATGAGAACATGAGTGAACTTGAGAAAGTTAAAAAGTGGTAGGGTCAGACTTCTTAGTGAATCAAAAGACTTTTGGGATTGGGAAGCCAGAGAGTGAGCCAGAAAGAAGTGATGTTGGACAGGGGAATGATTGAAGGAGATTATGGAAGAACACAGACATTGATGATAACAGGGTCTAAGATATGATCCTGAGACAAGTGGTTGAGGGGAGACTGTGGTGAAAACTTTGGAAAACTTTGGTTTCTGCTGTAAAAATCTCATACTCTAGACGAGTCTTGTTAACTATTGTACGTCAGGTACTATACTAGTAACCAGTATTCACTGAATTAAGTATGACATTTTTTGTGTGTGTTTGGTGCTGGGGATTGACCTTGTGCATGCAAGGCAAGCACTCTACCAACTGAGCTACATCTCTAGCCAAGTATGACCTTTTTAATAAAGTATCATGAAGGCCATTTGTCAGTACCATAGGATTAAATGTAATCTCAGTCTCATTGTAGATTTGAAATGTGGTATTTTTTAATTGACTGCTCATTATTAACTCCCTATATTTTTGCTTCAGGACTTTGTTGTTACTCTGGTTGCCACTTTTTTGTGGTTGGTGAGCACATCGGCCTGGGCTAAAGCTCTTACAGATATTAAAATAGCTACTGGTCATAATATTCTTCAGGAACTTTCATCTTGTAAACAGCCAGAAGTGATGTGTTATTTTCATTCTGTGACTAGTATGGGATCCCTAAATGTATCAGTGGTATGTATGCATTATTTATGCAATTTTTATCTTGCTTATTAGAAATTAAATTACTAGTAATTTAAGAAAGCAATAACTTTCAATAAATCTCTGAAATGAATGTATTTTTATTTTAAAGAGAGAGAAGAAAGAGAATTTTTTTAATATTTATTTTTCAGTTTTCGGTGGACACAACATCTTTATTTTTTTTTTTTAATGTGGTGCTGAGGATTGAACCCAGTGCCCCGCGCATGCCAGGCGAGCGTGTTACCGCTTAAGCCACATCCCCAGCCCATGAATGTATTTTTTAATATTTATTTTTTTAGTTGGACACAATATCATCTTTATTTTATTTACTTATTTTTATGTGGTGCTGAGGATCGAACCCAGGGCCTCTCATGTGCTAGGCGCTCTACCACAGAGCCACAACCCCAGCCCGAATATATTGGTTTTTATTTGTACAAAGCTATCAGGATCCTAGTTATGATATAGACTACATAACAATGAAGAAAAGTCAAGAAAATTATTTCTTGTGAGCTGGTTTGAATAAGATCCTATTAATAAGATCCTAATAATAAGTCTTATGCTTTATTAAAATTGATGAGGCAGGACTTTAACCTCAAAGGCACTTATAATAATGTCTTTAACTTTTGTTGAAATTATTTGCCAGGCATTGTGCTTTTGTATCTCAAGTTATTCAGCTATCCTAAAAGGAATGTGAAAGGTAGTATTATAACCATTTTAAAATTAGGGAAAGTGTAGCTCATATGTTAATTGACCCAAATGACACACCAAGGTTTGAACCACATCTAGCTTAGAGCCTGCTGTCTAAATTAGAGTTTGAGTAACATGGTACATGAAAGTGATACTTTTATGGTTTCTTAAATAATCTATAAAATTTAGCCCATGTAATGTATTGAATGTTATTTTGTCTGCTGTTTTACCAGATAAGTGCATTATTTAAAATATTATTAATATACCAAGCATATTGCATTTAGAGAGGTCTTATGTGTGTCATGTTTTTAAGAAAATATTTTCCACTGGGCACTGTGGTGCATATCTGTAATACCAACTACTCAGGAGGCTGAGACAGGAGGATTGAAAGTTTGAGACCTGCCTCAGCAACTTAGTGAAACCCTATCTCAAAAGTTAATGTTAAAAGGGCTTGGGGTATTGCTCAGTGGTAGAACCCCCCGGATTGCTTCAGTACCACCAAAAAAAAAGAAAAAGAAAAGAAAGTATGTTCCCGATAGGTAAAATGAATTCTGCATTAATAAAGCAATTTTACCAAATATTTGTTTTATAACTTTGTAATTAATCAAAGTTAGTACTTTGAACTTTATAACAGTACTTTGAACTGAACAATTTCAGAAAACTTTCTTGCATAAATGCACAAAAAGATATAAAGCATATGCCCTTTAGTAACATGGAAGTACTGTTACCTCAAGCCTCTTATCCCACTCTTCATAATTCACTATTATATCTATAAAGGACTGTTAAAATAAGGTAGCTGGAGTTTATTCACCTATAAGGCTTCGTCCCGTCAGATGTTCATCAGGGAAGATTAATTTATTCGGGTTGATCCATACAAGATGTTAAGTAAAATTCTTCTGGCTATAGCTGTTGGATTGGAGTAAAAGAAATGGCAGTAGATGGAGAGAAAAGGGAAGTAGAAAAAAGGAGTACACGGACAGTTCAGAACCATTCTGGACAAGAGAAAATGAAAGCCCCAACAGATGGAAGCCCAGATTCCTATTGCAACTCTTCACCCTGAAGTACCAAAGTCTAAATACAAAGAAATAAAAGGAGAATTTCTGTTTTCTAAAATCTAATTTCATCGTTTTTGTAATAAATTTTTAGTTGTGATTTTTGTGTTTTATAGAGTTAAGAGATTTAGCTGTATTTTTTAGAATAAGTCTATTATATCCAGATTTTGTAGTTTGAAATAAAGTTTTTATTTTTTTATTTCACTTTCTATGTGGTAGTAGACATTAAATGAAATGATGAACTTCCTAAAAATGTTAAATATTTAAAAGAAAGTAGATATTAGATTTTCATGTCTATTTTTCTCTTTTGTAGATCTTTGGCTTTCTGAATATGATACTTTGGGGAGGAAATGCTTGGTTTGTGTACAAAGAGACAAGCTTACATAGTCCATCAAATACTTCTGCTTCCCATAGCCAAGGAGGTGTGCCACCTCCTGCTGGAATATAATTGAAGGGAGAGAGAGTTACACTGTATGAAGTATGTGTCTGTACTATGACTTGTTGCCAATATCTTCAGAAGCGCTTGTTTCTAATAAAAGTAATGGCTTTTTCAATAAATTGGTGGGTTTAAAATTTTGCTGCTTTTTTTTTACATAAAACTTGTGCCTTTCCTAAGAATTTAAGATGTAAATGTATACTGACATGAAAATTTGAAAATTCAGGGGCCTGTTATGAGATGATACACATTTGTAAATGAACAGTAATTTCTTCATTGTTTGCCTTCCAAAATGTTTACACCTTAAGCCTTAATAGTTCATTCAGAAAATGGTTATATTATCATATCATAATAGGAAAAAAATCTTTATTTGGAATAAACACTACTGTAAGTTTGTGTAGATCATATACCTAAGACCTATGTTTAAGAAAACCCTTATAAATCATATTTAGAAAAAAACATATTTAGTTCAAATTTTATATCTGAACATTCTTCATATTCTAAAACAATTTGTACTTGCAAAGATTAGGTATGTTTTCTTTTTCTTTTTCTAAATGACCTGCTGTACTTTATAGATGTACTAAAATTGTGTTAGGAGCAGAGATTTTGAAATTTCTAACACATGTGTGGTTAAGTACTTCTGTTGCATGATGTGTAAGCTTCCATTATACTGGTGGTTTAATAGGCTTGGCATATAAGTAGAACACAGTTCAGCTAGGTGGTATTATATGAATAGGCATTACTCAATGATATTTGTTTGCTGTGTTTTGTTGCTTATGCCATCTAAGTGCAGGTTGAGACCTAGTCTCCTTGCAAGTAGAATAAATGATCTACCCTTTATTGCAGACCCTATGCAAAGGGTTAAAAAAAATTAAGATTGTCTTATACTTTGGAAACATTTAACATTTAGAGTCAATGAAGTTGCCACTTTGAGTTTAGTGTTGATATTGTGAAGATAAATGTGATTCAAATTTTGCATTTTTAATATTCGTTCTTTTTTCACAAGTGGATGATTAAGGAATTATGCATCATAAAGGAACCTAAGAAAGCTATGAGTGTACTGTCTTTTCACATATATTTTGGGTATATTCCAAATACAGTACTTATTCATATTTTGCTTCCTAATCTTTTTGTTGTACAGGGATCCAGACTTCCTATTCTTAAACATGATTGTTTATATGTGAAGCATATCTTGCTCTATTGCCTTATTTTTGTTGCTTTTATTCATGGCAAAAATTGTCAATATGAGAATGTATGTGTTTTATGCAACAAACTTAATAAAGAAGTTTAAAGAGTACACTGATTGTTATATTACAAAGAAATGTTCATCTTAAAGGCATCAGCAATGCAAAATGGAACTGATTTTAAAGCAGGAAATAGAATTATAATAGTGCTTTTAAGTGTTTGGCAAGGAATAAAACAGATAAAAATACTTTGGACACTCTGGTTCTATCCTTTTTTCTTTTAGTCTCATTTAAAAATACTTACTTAAATAACTCAGACTGAGTTTTCCTGATAACTTAATAGCCTTTTTAAATTGACTATTCAATTAGATAAAAAAAAAAAATTCTAATTAAGAGTATATGCTTTGGAGACAAACTGCCTAAATTTGAATCTTGACTTCACCACTTACTAGCCAGTTAATGTGAGGCAAATTACCCTCTGCATGCCTCTGTTTTTTCATCTGAGAAATGGAAATAGTGAAAGTATTGACCTCAAAGAGTGTTCCTGAGTAAATGAAATGAGTAAATAATTGTAAAGGCTAGAAAATAGTAGGCACTCTGTGTTAGCTATGATTACTAATTTTTGGTAGCATCTAATGTAGAGATTCTTAACATACAGTCCATGGAGCTTAGTGGGGAAGCTGGTCTGTGGCTGAGAAGCAGGATAAGCTTCAAGTGTACAGACTTCTCCCTTACGGTATTCCTTAAGGAGTCCTGGATGTTTGGGTATATTTTCCTGCTGATTGTAGATGTTCATGATGTTAATAAAATTAAAAGTTATTAGGCTACTGACTGGGCCTGGTGGCACACACCTGTAATCCTGAGTCTGAGGCAGGAGGATCACAAGTTCAGGACCAGCCTCAGTAACTTAGCAAGATCCTGTCTCAAAATAAAAAGGGCTGAAGATGTAGCTCATTGTTAAAGCAGCCCTGGTGCAATCCCTAGTGTGTGTGTGTGTGTGTGTGTGTGTGTATATATATATATATATATTTTTTTTTTTAAAGAAGAAAAGTTAATAGGCTAATGAGAGTAGACTTAAAAGTTGTTACTTTTTCACTACCTGCTTTTCAGGTAAAACAAGCAATTTATAGGATAATTTTCAAGACAAGCAATAAAAGCTTTAACCTAAGTGATAGGTTGCAGGGAATTATTTATAGACAATCTTTTTTAATTTTTTTTGTGAATAGAGTTTGTGTGGACAAAGATTCTTAATGTTAACAGCAGTATTGTTTGTCCTTTATGATTTTAGATCATTTAGATGATTTTATTATATAACATCAGGTGAGTGTACAAAATAATTATACAAGTACTTAACTTGCATCTTATTTTTAAGGAAATAAAATATTATAAATACAGCCTTTTCCTGCCCTTCATTAATACAAATAGAAATAAATATTGTGTTGAAATCGGTGTGAAGATTTCTCAGAACATATCATAAAAAATGGGGAATATTAGAATGTGAGATACATAGTCAGTTGTAACTGAGGTATTACAAAATTATTTAGCAAAATGCTTGTAACCAATTCAGTTTCCCACCAGCAATATGCAAGAATTCCTCTTGCTCCATGTTTTTGCTGGTAGTTGATACTACTGGATTATTGCCAATCTGATGAGCTTGAAATATCTTTGATGTTTTTAACTTTGAGTATTTCTAATTGCTATTGAGCTTGGCCATTTTCTCCTATATTTATTTGTTTTCTCTTTATGATTTCTTTCATATAAATTTTTTTTATTTTAATATTTAACTATCTTCTTCATGGTTTATGTTTGTGTATCCTAAATCTTCTTCTCGGTGTCATACTTTTTTGGAGGTGGGTACTGGGGATTGAACTCAGGAACACTCGGCCACTGAGCCACATCCCCAGCCCTATTTTGTATTTAGAGGCAAGGCTTCACTGAGTTGCTTAGTGCCTCACTATAGCTGAGGCCAGCTTTGAACCTGTGATCCTCCTGTCAGTCTCCCTCCTGGATTACAGGCGTGCACCACCACACCTGGCTCAGTGTCATACTTTTTATACTTTTCAGTACTCATAGCCAATTTTCATAGTGCCATTTATTTAAAAGTTCATCTTTTATCTACCCGTGTCATATCAGATTTCCACATTATTTTTTATCCCTTTTTTTAGTCTTGTACCAGTTCTGTATTCTAGCCTCGTCACCCTTTTAAGTTCTCTTTAGCTATACAGAAAAAAATTGCTGACTCAGTAAGCACAATCATATGATTCTTACTGTTATTCACAGTTGATTTGGCTACCTTGAAGCCATTCACTCTTGTATAAATTTTAGGATGAGCTTGTCAAGTTTCTAAAAATTTTGAGGGATTTCATTTGGAAACAACTGAATTTCTCTATTCAATTTGGGGAAAATTGTCATATTGCTGAGGCTTTGTATTTACAAACATGGCATGTCTCTTCATTTATATCTTTTTGCCCTCCAATAAAGCTTTATAATTTTCTACATACAGAGTTAAGGTTTGTATCTATTGGTCTTGTAGTTTTTGTTGCTATTATACATAGTAAATTTAAATTATATTTTAAATTGTAATTGTTTATTGCTGCTATACAAAGAGTTCTGTGGATTTTATTGGCTTGATAGAAATATGAGACAACCTTTCCAAACCTTTCATTATTTTTATAAAATATGGATTCTCTTTTTATGTGGATAATTATATCATCTGTAAATATTGATAGCTTTATTTCTTTATTGTGTTTGGAAATTAGATAAACCCTCCCTTTCTCTAATACATAACTCTTGAAATCTCTGAAAATAGGAAATATGCTTATTTGGTAGTGCAATAGCTGTATTTGTTTCAGTGTAGCACATGCAATCACAAATTAATATTGTGTTGTCTCTTGATCATTTTAGTAACATAAAATTTGATCAATAGCACTTCTTTTTTTTTAATATTTATTCTTTAGTTTTTGGCGGATACAACATCTTTGTATGTGGTGTTGAGGATCAAACCCGGGCCGCACGCATGCCAGGCGAGCGCGCTACCGCTTGAGCCACATCCCCAGCCCTCAATAGCACTTCTTATGTTGTGGAATAAGTACATGGAAATTTACCAATTAAACTAATCGAAATAAGATAACATTATTATGTATTTTAACTGTCATGCCAAGTATATTATTGCAGTTTTCTTGGATTTTGCTTGTAGAAGAATAATATTTACAAGTGAAGCCATGCTTGCTATTTGAATTATAAAGAACGTGATTGGATTCTTAAAGCCAGTTTTTAGGTTATAATTGATATACAGTAGACATCTAAATTACTTAATAAATCTTGAAATATATATGCATAAACTCACCACATCAAGATAATGAACATATTATCAGTCTCCTCCCCATATTTCTTCCTTCCTCTCTCACCCACCCATCCCACTTATTTCCCAGCAACCACATAGGTTTGCATTTTCTAGAGCTCAATGTAAATGTATTTACAACCAGCATACATCCTTTTTGTTAGGCACTTACTCCACGTAACGTGAGATTCATCCATGTTGAGCATATCAACAGCTCATTCCTTTTTTATTGCTGAGTGTTCATCCATTGTGTAGATTATCACAATTTGTTTATATATTCACCTGCTGGTGAATATTTGGGCTGTTTCAAGCTTTGGACTAATGCAAATAAAGCTGCTGTGAACATATGAGTCTTCATATAGACATATGCTTGCTGTTGTCTTGCATAAATACCTAGGAGTAGAATAGCTGATTTCTATGATAGGAACATATTTAACTTATAAGAAGGTGCCAAAATGGTTGTGCCACTTTACATTCCCACCAGTAATATATGAAGGTCAAGGTACTTTACATCTTCATCAAATGCTTGGTATAGTCAGAATTTTTAATTGGAGCCATTTTAATAGGTATGTAGTGGTATTGTTCTAGTTCTGCAATTAAGTTCATTATTGGGTTTGTGTTTTACATTCTGAAGAGCAGAGATTTTTAATTTTGGTAAAGTAAAATTTATTGTTTTTCTTCTGGATTGCAATTTTGGTGTTGCATCTATGAAATTTTGTGTGATCCCCTGGGCACAGTGGTACACACCTGTAATTCCAGTGGCTCATGAGGCTGAGACAGGAGGATTGTGAGTTCAAAGCCTGCCTCAGCAATGGCAAGGCACTAAGCAACTCATTGAGACCCTGTCTCTAAAAAATAGGGCTGGGGATGTGGCTCAGTGGTTGGTGCCCCTGAGTTGAATCCCCAGTACCAAAAAAAAAAAAAAAAAAGGGAAAAGAAAAATATATCCTGGTGTTTTTGTTTTGCTCCCCTTATCACTCCAAAAGTTTTGTGATTTGGAGTTTCACATCTAAAGTTTTACATTTTGATTTGATCTCATATATGGTTCAAGGTAGTGATCAAAATTTTTGTTCTTGGGTTTTTTATGGGGACAGGTGTTGTGGCATATGGATCGCCGGTTCCAGCACCATTTGTTGAAAAATAGCTCTTTTCCCATGGACTTGCCTTTGTGCCTTAGTCCACATTTGTGTAAGTCAATTTTTGCACTCAGATTCTGTTTTGCTGATCTATTTGTCTTACTTGATGCCATTACTACATTATGTTGATTACTGTAGCTTTGTAATGAGTCTCAAAATCAGCCAGTGGTTAGCATTTTGTTCTTTTTCAAGTACTTTTAGCTATATTTCGTATTTCCATATAAATTTTATGTTTTTAGAACCAGTTTGCTAGTTTCTACCACCAAAAACAAACAAACAAAAAAAACCTTACTGGGCTTTTAATTTGAATTGTGTTGAATCTGTATAACAATTTGGGAGGAATTGGCATCCTAATGTTAAGTCTTCTGACTCCAACATGGTAGAATTCTACATGTATATAAGTCTTTATTTCTCTTAGCAATATTTTGTGGTTTTCAGTATACATGCATTCTGTACATGTTTTGTGATTTATCCCTAAGTAGTTAATATTTTTATGTCATTGTAAATAGGTTAATTTAGTTATCCATTGATAGTATATAGAAATATACTATCAATTTATTTTTTATTATTGACCTTGTATACTGCAACCTTGCTAAATATACTTATTCTAATAAATAAGAATTATCTCATATTTCCA